ACATTAAAAGATTTACATAACCCTTACTATTTAGCATCAATAAACCCCATTTTTCACGAGCTTTCATTTGATATAAAATTCATTATATCACCTGTTTGAAATTATATCGTTACCCCCCTTGAATAATATTCTTTCCGACCCTGTATTTTTGAACAGGATAATTATACATGATTGATACATTATCTTCTTGAATTTCAGGATCGAATATGAGCAAAGCCCGTCGAAAGAACATACCCGTTATTCCGAAATCTTGTGTGTTTGAAATACCAACAGCTTATCAACAAACATTATCGAATAAACGATTCTTATTGATGGATTATTATTTGAAACGTGCCAAAGAACGTGTAGTTATTTTTTCAAGTGATCAACAATTAAATTTACTGTTTAACAGTGATGTCATCTTTATTGATGGTACATTCAGTGCTGCACCAGAAAATTTTGATCAAGTTTTTTTTTAATTCATGCCCAGCAATTCAATCAAGGTAATTCAATTGTCTGTTATCCCATAATTGATATAACCTTTTCTCTTTTCTCAAAGGTTTGCCGGTTGTATTCGGTTTATTACCAAATCGTCGGACAACAACCTATGTGGATTTATTTAAACGTTTGAAAGAAGAAGCAATAGCAATTAATAAAGTATTTGAACCGAAGCAAGTTGTTTCTGATTTTGAATCAGCACTTGTATCAGCAATTCGAGCAACAGTATGTCTTTCTTTTGTTTTTGTGCTAAAAATTGGTCTTTATACTTTAATTTTCTATCTTTTTAGTTTCCAAATGCTTCACATACTGGTTGTAATTTTCATTTTGTCCAAGCGGTTCATCGGAATATCGCGAACTTAGGATTGGCATCCGAATATACACATGATGAAAATATGCGAGACCAATGTAGACAATTAATGGCTTTATCCCTTATGCCAATTGCCGAAGTTGAAAAACAATTTAAACGTATTCGTGCATTAGTATCACCATCATTAGATGATTTATTCGTCTATTTCGAACGTCAATGGATAAATGGTTGTGTTCCTTTATCACTATGGAATGCAAATGAATCTGATTATCGTACAAATAATATTGCTGAAGGTGAAAGAGAAAAATCTATCTTGCGGGTCAGAAATAAATCAATCTATATGTTTTGTTTTCTTTTAATTTTAGCGTATAATCGTCGGTTTGGAACCCGTATAATGAAAAAACATCCAAATTTCTGGTCATTTTTACAATTAATTCAAGATGAACATCTTCGATTTGAACATATAACAATTCAACTTGCTTCTGGGGCATCGGGGTCGAAGCCATCGACAAATAAAACAGCTTTTCAACGACGATTTGAAACATTAAATATGAGGTTTAAAAATGGTGACATAAATGCAAAAGAGATGTTGGCTGGATTAACTTTATTGATCGGACGACAAAAAAAATAAAATAAATATGCATTTGTAATTTTAATCATGTTCCTTCTTTTTTTTTTTATATATTCAAATAAAATGAATGACTCCTTGATATTTCAGAATTAGAAAAATTTCATTTTCGATATTTTCCATTTCGATGTTTTCCTTTCGATATTTTCCGGTCTCCTGTTTTTCTATTCGACATTTTTCTTTTCGTCATTTAATTTTCTGCATTTTCCTTTTCGACATTTTCCCATATTTTTATTCGCGGTTTTCCTTTTCGGTATTTTCCTCTTCGCTGTTTTCCACCAAACCCGTCTCTTCATTAGGTATTAAGATAGGTCCCGCCGCTATTCGGTCTCATTTCAACGCAAGCGATGGTTTCAGCAAGAATTCGTTGTTTCGTATTCGTTCTATTCTGGTAATTCTATAACCTATTTTTTCCTATTCATCTAATATTGAACAGTCTTCCTTTGAAGCTTTACAGGTTTGATCAAGGGGGAAACAGCAGAATCCAGTCCCTTGGATTCATGGATTCTGCTGTTTCCCCCTTGGGTTTGATTCTTGTTTTGTTTTACATATTCTGCTATTAATTTAGTATGTTACTAGTTCGAGTGAAATCTCAATTCTGTTATGGGATTGCCCAATATGATCGACGTTCGCCAAATAGTGCATGTGCCTGGTTCTATATAGCAGTTGCTATTGACATTGGCATTTGCGGCGATGAATTCGTGGATTGTTCTGAGCTAGTTCCATGCGAACGTTCAAACAACCTTTGTCGTGAACCTAACCATAGATGTGTTCATCATCCTCGATGTCATAATCTTCCTGTTTGTTATCCGGTGCCCAGTTTCAATCGACAACTCTGTCCACCGATAGCAAGTAAGAAAACAAACAGTGATCTACAGATACAAGTGAATGCCGAATCTTTCTTAAAGGTATTTCTTCATCGTTCATACACCCTCACATATCCAGTTCATGTTGGTGTAGGAACAGTGGCGAAAAGCCGAAGAGCCCTTGACAAAGTAGATAAAGCATGTTAGAGACAAACCGAATTGTAAATTTTGGAGAAAAGGTTTCATCTCTGCGCATAGATTATATCCATTAATTTGAAATACAGAGCCTGTTGCGGCTATATCTAGCAATTCATGAATACGCAATGAAGATTTTAATGTACATCAAAGAGCGAAAGAAATTAAACAAATGATCATTCTATTCGATTTGATTCTGTAGAACATGTCATATGTTTGGATTTTCATAAGAGTACATCAATTCTATTGTGCCACACTTCTCTCTCATTCACAGTTTTCGTTGTACACTCGACTGATTCTTGTGAATATTGAGTTCACTCGGCAGTTTTTTTTCAAAACAACTGCAATTGACATCCAGCTCGAAAGAAAACGCATTTATAGTTCTCTCTGTCATGTTTCTAATGACTAAACTTGCGAAATTGAAGACTGATCATTTAGCTACTACACAGTAACCATTAAAGCTGAAGAGAGCTTTAGCAATTGAATGGAATGAATATGCGACTAATGATCAGTAATTCAGTTGTGTATGTAAATTGTTTCTTCACAGCTTATAACACCACTGACTTAGACCTCTCAGTAAGATACTAATAAGCATTTGAAGACTATGTCTCCATGTGTCTAACGTTCGAGCATTTTTTTTTTGAGACAAGAATGTAAAAATTTAGACTGTCTGACGACGAGAGGGACGAGGGAGAGCTCGTAACAATCTATCTCTAGATTATTATTCTGTTATTTCGCATATCCATTTAAATTCATTTCACTCACACTGTTGATATGACGGCAGACTATTCTAATGGTCTAAGACAAACACACTGACAAATGGGCAATTTATGTGATTTAGTTCATTTTCGCCGAAAAAGTTTTTCGCTGAAGACGAATCTAGCCGAAAAGAAAATTTTACCCAACGAAATTCGCCGAAAGAATTTGGTCGCCGAAAACAAATATAAGTTGAGTTTGATCATGTACAACCCCCCCCCCCCCCCCCCCATATTAGAAGACCCCCCGTTTTAGAAGACCCCTCCGGAGGAGTCACTTCACAGAAATTTCTTTTTTTCATCAGCAACAATTTACAAAATTTCCACAAGTTCGCTGGACCATAATAGAAGACCCAGGGTCTTTTATTGTAGGGGGAGGGGGGGGATTTACAGCAATTCTATTGCGGCAATTAATCGATCACATCAAGTCAGTTAAATCCTATTGAGATCGCTTCCATGTCGGCTAAATCAACTACCAAGCCAGATAGTAACCATCTGAGTTGGTAGCCAACTGAGTTAGTTATCATACTAATAAAATTTGCTCATTGGTTAAATAGATGCCACTAGAAGAATATTTCTTCGTCCTAATTTGTACGCAAAAAGACTTGTGGCGTCAGTATAATCTTTATACTCTGGTAGAGATTAACAGTTGAGAATTCGTTAGATTAGTTTCAGAAAACAAAGAATGGTGGAAAAGGGTGTGGGTATGGGTGGGTGTGGGTGTGCGTGTGGGTGTGGGTGTGGGTGCGAGTGTGGGTGGGTGGGATGGGTGTGGGTCAGACTTGCCACCTTTTGATGATGGAAAAGCAGAAAATAACCTATAAAAAGCAGAAAATGGCAGAATTTTTCATCGTCAAAAAGCAGAAAAAAAGCAGAAAGTATGTTTCTTGTACCAAATAATCTTTTAGGCTTTGACTTCATATAGTAATGAGAATAGCTCATTACAATTTCCATTCTTTATTGTACAAAATCAAGAGAAAAAACTACTTAAATACAAAAATAGAATTATTGAATACGTTTTTTTTTGAATGTGTATTTTTCATCTGACTTAATAGCTTTTAACAAATCTTGATTGCATAAAATATATTTATACATCTCAGTACATGATAAGGTCGAGTTGAAACGTATTTTTAATTCAGCTGAAACCAATTCATTTGTCATACGTTTTCTTCTGTCATTTAACAAATGTTTCATTTGTGAGAATACAGATTCCACGAAAGCATTACTACATGGTAATGAATACAAAAAACATATGAGTTTTTTAAAATTTGGCGATTGAGTAATTGAAAATAAAAACATCCATAACTGATCAGATCTAACTATTTTGTTCGTTGTTAAGTGATCATCATCATCATCTTCTTTTTCATCAACACAATTATTTATTTTTGATATATCGTTTTGTTTTCTTATGAAAGCTTGAACTTGGTCAAATAATGAAACAGGTTGATCTAAAAGTGTTTTAAATACAGATTTTACATTTGTAAATTCATCGAACAATCGATCTTCATCTACACTTTTTAATTTTATCATCTCAACGCATTGAATAACCTGATGCCATGTTAAACCTTCGATATTTTCTTGACCAAAATAGCTAATTGTTTGATAAAAAGTAATATTTTTATCAAAATAAGAATCAATATAAGCAATAATTGCACTCAAAAATTTAATAAATGATGATTTTAATCTATTTTGTGTATCAATTGGTAAACGCATTAATTTATATCGACATGCAGCACCAAAAAATTCTGAATCAATTCGTTCTTGTAATTTAGTTTTAATGGATGTGATGATTCTGAATAAATCAACAGCTGTTGTGTAATTACGTTGTAATTCAAGATTTTTTTTATGAAGTTCGAACAAAACGTGTTGCAAAAAACTCAGTATACATGTAGCTTCATCAAGTTCGAAGAACTTTTTTAATTCCAATGGACAATTATCATGCTGTTCAAGAAAATATTTTTTAATAGGTAACCATACGTGTACTAAACGCTCTATGGAAAAGTATAAGCTTAACCATCTGATTTTAATATGCTTCAAGATCACCTACAATGAGAGAAAACAGAATATTATAAATTAGACTTGTAAATGAGAAAAATCAATAATTGAAAAATATTTTTACCTTGAAATCTTGTTCGTAGAACTCATAGTATTTCTTCAATTCATTAATACGTTTTGCAGATCGAGAAAAATATGCATATATCGTAAGTAATATTTGTTCGACATCAATAGGTAATAGACAATGAGCATGTTTAACAGAATTGTGAAGTATATGACAATAGCAATTTCCTATAGGTATAAAACGTGAAAATAAATGTGACGTTCTTTTCAAAAAAAAAAGGTGTTCATCTTTTTGAAAAAAAAATATAGGATCTCTGTAGTATTGAGTTATTTCTTTAGAACTCAGTTTGAACTATACTCCGTGTCACGTCTACGCAGATGCTAATGATTAATCTTGCAAAATTTTGAAAAACCAAGATGAAAAATAACAAAAACTCATATTCTTTTAACTACGTTTATTTTACCTTTGATGAGATCAGGAAATTCATCATTAAATAAAGAAAAAACAGAATGATTTTCACCAACGTTGACATTCGTATTATCAGCACCGAGTGCTGATAATCCATTAATATCCAAATCATTATCTATAATTAATTTACGTGCATTTGAAAAAATTTTAAGTGCTGTTTCTTCAGCATCATCTATTAAATCTATAATTCCTGAAAGAGTAAAAAGATGTAAATGACGAATAAATTAAGTTAGCTGAAAAATATACCTTTTTTTACACCTGTTGTAGATAAAAATTGAACACAAAACGGATATACTTTCATATTTCCTTTGTTACTAGCATCATACATCAAAGAATAATAATATGATTGTTTTAAATCATCAAGTAAAGTATATGTAAAACATGGCGCTAATACATTTAGAGCAATACATGTTGATTTAGTTCGAGCAGATGACAAATTATTTGCTATTGATGAGGACGAAAATATTGCTTTACAAACATTGGTCGTGCATTGCTGTGCTAAATATGAATGTCCATGTTTAACTCCATGATAAACCAAAACACCTTCAGCAGCTGCAACTTCATCTTTTTCTTTTGATGGCTTTATTGTTTTTGTTATTAATTGTCGATTAACATCAAAAGATTTCATATTATTTTGATGCTTTTTCGTTTTCATGTGGTTATCGATATCACTTTTACCACGATAATACAGTGAAAATTGCTGATTACAAACGATGCATG